ACATTAATGTGTATCCAATAGCAAAGTAAAAAAACCAAAGAGACCCACCAGCTAAATATTGTGAGAGTGCCTGGGAATTTCTGTCCCTGCCTCAAAACACGTAGTTGCTTTCTGTGAAGGGTGCCAAACAATTGAATTTGTGTTTACAACACACTTTGAGAACATGGTGGTGGCAGTGATTTTGGCAGTGATAGTGGCGGTGTTAACGTTGGCGGTGGTGACCATGATGTGGCGGTGATGGTGACGAAGATGCCGGTAACGGTGACGGTCATGGCATTATAAGAAGTTGATTATTTTGGAGATTTATTTCGATATCTATTTTCTGCCTTCGACCCGCTTTGAATTATCGCTTAGTTTATGACCGATAGTTTCCCATAGGACGGATTGAAAAAGTTCATTTTGTGTGTTTCCTGTGTTACACACTTCTTATGTTGCACCTTTCAAAACTAAGGTTAATTTATGTTCTCGTGACAATAAGAACCTCTGTGACACAGGTGGTTTTTCTCCCACACCAAGCTGACACGAGTGATATTACAAAAATATTGGTCAAAGCAGCCCCCAACTCACTCTGTACATGAGAGGTTCAAACGGGACACGAGAAAAAGTCCTATCACTGGCCGGATTAATATCCACGCACCAACTACATACAAACGTATCATACGTGAATATTACCAGACTGATTAATGTTCGAATAGGCCATGTGTGGGGGACACTACGTGATTTAGGTGGCTTAATTTGATTCCCTACTAATCACAACGATGTCAGTTTTCTTAGCTGGTGTAACTAAAATATTGATTTGCAGCCACAAAGAGAATCACATTGGCCGTATTGCAGAAATAAAAGTCCCATATCCTTAGAAACCTGTCATTATTTACCATTTATGGCTCTGACACAGGTGTGGTTGAATATGACAATACGTTGTAAGTCGAGAAGGATATATTTCCGCCCACTGCACGTCTAAACACGTGGTGGGAGACTATGTGTGGTAGGACGGGCGAGGATCTTATTGAAAAGTGGGCATGTTGTTTTGCATCAAATTCATTCTCCGGTAACATACAGAAAAGTTGATGTCGTCAAAAATGAATCAAACATACAAACACTAAATTGAAGGTTGTTCCTGTTCCAGAAAGAAAAATATAAAACTTATATCAAATAAATAGTTCGTGTTACATATAACTGAATTTATAATATTTCATAGATCTTTCTTAGTTTTTACCAATAAATATATATCTATATCTATATCTATATATCTATAGTTTTCTGTGGTTTCATTTTAGTTTTTGGCATTTTCGTTTTGGTTTTTGACATTTCCATTTTAGTTTTTGACATTTTCGCTTCACATTTCAGCGACTCAATAGCTACTTGGAAGTACATTTTCCTTGTTTTCGGTTGTTTTTATACACGATTTATCACATATCTGTATGACAAATTGTGTTAATTTGCAAAAGGTTACGATAAAAGTAAATGAAACTTCAAAATATTGAAAAACAGACTCCATGTCCCTTATGGGCCACCGTAGTAATGACTTACATTTTACAGTTACAAATCATTTTTTACTTCTAATCATTGTAAGAAGATTCAGTATAATGGTAAGTAAGCCCAGACCGTGTCTAACAACAATGGTTTGTTTTGTTTTGTTTGTTGTTTAACGCTGCATTCAGCATTATTCCAGCTATATGACGGCGGTCTGTCGATAATCGAGACTGGACCAGACAATCCAGTGATTGATATCATGAGCATCGATCCACACAACTGGGATACGATGGCATGTATCAACCAAATCAGCGAGCCTGACCACCCGATCCCGTTAGTCGCTTCAACGACAAGCATGGATTGCTGAAGACCAATTCTATCCCGGATCTTCTCTGACAACAATGTCAAGACATTCACAACCAATCATGGCTCCTGTGTGTAAAGCATAAGATAGGTTTATGTTTACAAGTCATTCCAACATATAAACAGAACATTATTGTTTTGCAACATTCAGAAAACATCGCGTATTTCCGTAAACAACAGTGAGTGAGTGAGTTTGATTTTACGCCGCTTTTAGCAATATTCCAGCAATATCAATGTCTTCAGCGTGACGAGCGAACGCTTTAACCACCAGGCTACCCGACCGTCCCCTGTTAACAACAAGATAATGGCTCCACTGTCGACAACACTCCACCTTGACGAAAGTGCTTCCGGAAGTTCGCGAATAATTGCGAAAGGCCCATATCACGGTCTGTGGGGTCATGACGAATACGAAGGTGTTGAATACTTACACTACTGAATGTACACATATATTCCCTGAATGAGTGAGTGAGTATGGTTTTACGCCGCTTTTAGCAATATTCCAGCAATATCACGGCGGGGGACACCAGAAATGGGCTTCACACATTGTACCCATGTTTGGAATCGAACCCGGGTCTTCGGCGTGACGAGCGAATGCTTTAACCACTAGGCTACACGACCGCCCCTTCCCTGAATGAACCTGAGTGATAGCGTGTGGAAATTGCAAACACCTTCTCAAATGTGATGTTTTCTGCAGTCGCAATGTGTTTTTGTTAGGTTCCGGTGAGAATTAATTAATAACTAAGCCCCAGCTGTTACTCCCATTCAGCGAGGAGTACGAAATCCAACAGCCTGGTGTGTTTACTTATGTGGGTGTGAATAACAGTAAACACGGGGCCTCCAGGAACCACCAAGGTAGTTCGTGTGCCGCGCTTCAGCTGTTGGGTCGACTCAGGTGGTATGCGTTTTTCCTGTTTGTATTTTCTCTGCCTCACACTGCAAAATGTTTTGTCATGTGCTTGAGTATTTGGTTCATTCATGCTTTCTGTGTTCTGAAATGTTTCTGATTTATTTTAGAGGCACGCGGTGAAATTGGGAACACCCGCAGGACAACTGCACTGCATCTACACAACGTCATTCTGGTGAGACAGCGACACAAACACCAACAACACACCCACACTGTCTCTACACAGCGTCATTCTGGTGAGACAGCGACACCAACACCCGCAGTGCATCCACACTGTCTCTACACAACGTCATTCTGGTGAGACAGCGATACCAACACCCGCAGTGCATCCACACTGTCTCTACACAACGTCATTCTGGTGAGACAGTGACACAAACACCCGCAGTGCATCCACACTGTCTCTACACAACGTCATTCTGGTGAGACAGTGACACCAACACCCGCAGTGCATCCACACTGTCTCTACACAACATCATTCTGGTGAGACAGTGACACCAACACCCGCAGTGCATCCACACTGTCTCTACACAACGTCATTCTGGTGAGACAGCGACACCAACACCCGCAGTACGCCCACACTCTCTCCACACAACCTCATTCTGGTGAGACAGCGACACAAACGCCTACACACACCCACACTCTCTCCACACAACGTCATTCTGGTGAGACAGTGACACAAACACAAACAAAACACCCACACTCTCTACACACAACGTCATTCTGGTGAGAGAGCGACACAAACGCCTGCAAACACCCACACTGTCTCTACACAACGTCATTCTGGTGAGACAGCGACACAAACATCCGCAGTGCATCCACACCGTCTCTACACAGCGTCATTCTTGTGAGACAGCGACACCAACACCCGCAGTACGCCCACACTGTCTCTACACAACGTCATTCTGTTGAGACAGCGACACAAACGCCAACAAAACACCCACACTGTCTCTACACAACGTCATTCTTGTGAGACAGCGACACCAACACCCGCAGTACGCCCACACTGTCTCTACACAACGTCATTCTGGTGAGACAGCGACACAAACACCCGCAGTACGCCCACACTGTCTCTACACAACGTCATTCTGGTGAGACAGCGACACCAACACCCGCAGTGCATCCACACTGTCTCTACACAACGTCATTCTGGTGAGACACCATTGAAAGTAGTCATCTGAAATATTATTGATGGCCATATTTCATCGTCCATGGGAACCAATATACGCAAAAACAAACTTTCCATCTTCACAAGAAATATCTGCCAAAAGCAGAATCGATTGTACGATTCTGACCATATCATGAACTTCAAAGCTGGTCACATCAAGAATAGTTTGATGACTTCCGCTATGAGGAGGACAACTGTCCCGATGTGTTTTCAATAGCATCTGCAATATATATGATATATGGGGAAAATATACTTGAATCATTATGCAACTAGTTGCCCGTTTGCGCTTAGATAGGACCTTGTCGCAAAAATGGCCATGTGAGGAACAAGAGGCGCTATTCGGCTTGGCCCGGAATAACACGAGTTGGTCACGAGAAATCACGATTGACTCGGTCTGGTTTTATCGATGTGTTGGGGGGTTAACATCATTACACAGCGGTAGTAGATCAAATGGAAGAAGATAACCGACCGGGTTACCCAACGCCAATGAACTTTGTACGAAAATTAAAAAATTGTAATCAGCAAGAGTGGTATTCAAAGTGATGTCTGGGTAAAAAATGTAAATCCCTTTTAGTAGAGTATCATTATTGTAAATTCACGGTTCGTGAATACAGCCGACTTGTGTTAGAAGCGGAAAACTGCCATTTATGATAAATGACGGTGATATTGCTCGTTGTAAGCGACACTGTAAAATGTGTTTGCTGGGAAAACTTAAAGATGAGTACCGGGTTATATTGCCCATTTTCACTGCTTTGAGATCACCACCATAGTATTATTGGAATAACGTTAGTGAATTTAATATATATTATTTTACCATGTAATAAGAAGACCATGTTAATCGTACAAGGTTTGTGAGATAAATGTCACACAATCAACAATCATCTCACACACACACACACACACACACGCATGCACACGCACACGCACACACACTCACTCACTCACTCACACTCACTCACACACACTCACACACATCCACACACACACACATCTGCGCACAAACACAAACACATCAACAACTGATTTCAAGACAAACGTTATCAAATGAACTTGTACACGCAAGTGTTGGACTAAATTATTATAAATGACAATATATATGGAAAAAACATATAATGTTTATTTTCAGCATTTTTTGCCTTTTGAAAAGGATAAAACTAAACCAAAAGCTTTCTCTCGGGAAAATGAGCAACGGTCCTCGCGGTCAGGTTAAGATGTCATGCAATCAGCCACGGCACATAACCTGACCACGAGATTCCCAAAGAGGGCAGCCCTTGTGAAAAACATGCTGTGCTCTGGTCATATTCTGATCCGGACTCCCAACAGCCTGTGGGCGGACACTAGCCTTGCTCCAAGGCTGTACTGAATGATATGTTCACGGGTGTATAGTAATTCTATCCTTATAACAGTCAAGTCTTCATACGCGGACAGTACAACTAAGGGCGTCAGTATTTTACAGGGACAACTTGTTCGTATTATTTATATAATCTAGAAATTGTTGTCAAAACTAACAATGTTTGCCTTAGAGACTTGAGCAAGTCTAGGCGGACAGTTACCGATCTCGCTGTTTTACGAACAAAGCGAGGCTGACTTGGTATCCAAGATCCCCGAACAGTAAACGATTTGCCCTATCGTGGCTACGGAAATGACTCATCAGGTTTTAGTGAAATGTCGCCCATATCTGATGCTGTATATGTAAAGGTCAAAGCAATCAAGTCAAACACAACTGCTTGTCTGTCACACGGATAGATACGCTAAAGCTAAATCCATCAAAGTATAAAAGAATGTATAATGGTACCGTTTGTCATTGAGATGATCAAAAAACGATTAAGGGGTTGAGGAGTAGCCTCGTGGTTATATTTCGGCTCGTCGGAATCGGTTTCCCCACATATGTACAATGTGTTAAGGTAATAATGTGCTGAATTGTAACTAAAAGCGGCCTAAACACCTACTCCCTCAATCACCCACGCACAAACACTGATTAAACCCTGGGAATAGCTTTCATGAGAAATGGTCTTGGAGAATGAGTTAAACCCATGATTCCATCCAAGGAGGGCATCCGGCCATCCACAGGGACGAACTTGAACCTCTGGATCATGGTGGTCAGGAAGAGGAACAACTCCATCCGGGCCATCGACTCACCCAGACAAACTCGTCGACCTGAAATATTTCAAACCCTTGAGTTTTAATTCCTAATGTCCTTGTTCAGGAAATATCCGACCTATTCGTGTCAGCATCTTTGCCGCATACGTAGATATACAATAATTCGTTAATATTGCTTCATTGCGATGACAAACACAAGCTGTTACCTTGGCGTCCCGCTGGTTGAGGTTGGGTGGGTTTGGACTTGTTGAATGTCACTCACTGTATTTAATTTGTAATACACTGACGAGTAAAACAAACTATGCCAACAAAATTCGGCTTGACAACCGAGGTAATATATTATTCCAAATGTAGCGTTTGTAGTTATGAAACATTATTTCACGTTCGAACCCAAATTATAATATTGTTTGTTTGTTGTTTAACGCCACACTCAGCAATATTTCAGCTTTATGATGGCGGTCTGTAAATAATCGAGTCTGGACCAGACAATACAGTGATTGACATCATTAGCATCGATCCACGCAATTTGGATACAATGACATGCACCAACCAAGTCACCGAGCCTGACCACCCGATCCCATTACTTGCCTCTTACCACAAGCGTAGTCGCTTTTTACGGCAAGCATGGGTTGCTGAAGACCTATTCTGACCCGGATCTTCACGGCTGCCAAATTATGATAAATGTTACATAATGGGTATAGTTTCTTCAGCTCGACAGTGTATTAAGAACACTTGTGTAATGTTTCACAAAGAAATGACTGTGACTGTAGGACTGTGTTTTTTCCGGCGAGTAAACTCACCCAGAGAGAAGGGAATGAACTCTTCTTTCTTTATAATCTTGCCAGTGTCGTCATGGAAACGGCCGGGACGGAAGTTGTCTGGGTCGCCCCACACATCCGGGTCTTGTAGGACCGAATCAAGCATCAATATGACGTTGGCACCTTTTGGGAACGTGTACCCTCTGAACTGGACATCGTGGGGAACGGTGTGTGGGAGAGCGGTAGGGGCGATATCCGCTCGTCTCAACACTTCCATAATGGTTGCCTCGACATAGGGCAGATTGGTCTTGTCCTTCATGGAGGGTCGTCTGCTCTGGCCGATGTTTTCCTGGATCTCTTGAAAACACTTTTCCTGTACATCCGGGTTATGGAGAAAGTAGGCCAGTGTCCATCGAATTGTAGTGGATGTGGTTTCTGTCCCGGCCACAAAAATGTCTGCAATAACCCTGGTCAGGTTCTCCACTGAAACAGAACATCAACACTGATATAACACACCGTGCATATCAAGTAAGGTGGTGAGGGTGGTGTGGGTTGGGGTTGGGGTTGGGGTTGGGGTTGGGTTGGGTCGATGTTATAGGAGTCTTTTGGGCCTTTCCTCACACACGCTCCGACACGTCGTGATTTTACTTGTATTAACAACGGCATTAAACCCAACGCATTTATCCAAGTCATAAATGGTAACACAGAAACGAAATTAATTATTTACAAATTTACCAAGACAAGGCCAAAAAGGTAGTATGAAATTCCGCAACATTACACTTAAGGAATAACACAGAACATAAAGTCGTTGCCTTTTGCTTTTCTTTGCGACGTCGCATTTCCTTGATATAGGGGAGGATGAAGTCGTCCGCGTCATCATAGTTATCACAAAACTCACTCACTCAACCTTTTGATGTTAGCACACGAGCTTTACAAAGGGGCTTCTTGTCCCGGTTCCGAAACGAAGGTAGTAAGGAGTTAAGACATTCGATGTTGAGTGTCAAATACCAGAACCTTTCATGTACTGTAAAAATCTAGCATGAATCCGACAGCTTCCGTTTATGCTTACAGTTTAAAGTCATGTATAACAAATACATCTTCGTTCAGTTTATGCTTACAGTCTAAGGTCGTGTCCTCTTGCTTTTCTTTGCGAAGTCGCATTTCCTTGATGTATGCGTGGATGAAGTCGTCCACGTTATCATCGTCGTGGTTCTGCAAGTGTTCCTCTATCATAGGGTGTAGCAGAAGTGAGGTGATGGTATCCACATTCTTCAAAGTCTTCTTAAATTTGAATAGATCCCCTGGCAGAAAGCGCACAATAGGCAGCACGTTCAACACAGCAGCCGCACCTATGTTGGAAAAGTTTTCGTCCATAGCTTTCAAAAATGTAATAAAAAGCGGGTCTGTATATTCAAATCGCTTGCCGAACATAGTGGAGCAGACGACATTGGATACTGCGTTCTGCACCAGACGGATGCAGTCAAACCCGTGTCCCCGTTCTGTCTCGAAGGCCTCGAGAAACTGCGAGATTTCTTCATGTATTTTGTCCTCCATGATGTTCCTGCCAGCTCCAAACTCTCTGAGAGTGTTGAGGGTGAAGCGTCTTTGTTCGCGCCAGAGCTCCCCAGAGGTACCAACCACACCTGTGAAATGAAAATAAAAAGGACAAACACAGTGTGGGGCAACACAGGTGGATGTGTTATGTGGGGCAACACAGGAGGAGATGTTATGTGTGGGCAACACAGGAGGAGATGCTATGTGTGGGCAACACAACACAGAGGGAGATGTTATGTGGGGCAACACAGGTCGAGAGGTTATGTTGGGCAACACAACACAGAGAGAGATGTTATGTGTGGGCAACACAGGAGGAGATGTCATGTGTGGGCAACACAGGAGGAGATGTTATGTGGGGCAACAAACGTGGAGGCGTTATTAAATGTGTGGGCAACAGAGGTAGAGGTGTTATGTTGGGCAACTGAGGTGGAGGTGTTATGTAGGGCAACTGAGGTGAAGGTGTTCTTCAGGGCAACAGGGGTGGCGGCGTAAATTGGGGCAACACGGGGTGGGGGGTGGGGCTGGATTTGAAGAACGGAGGTGGAAGTGTGATGTGTGGGCAACAGAGGTGGAGTTGTTATTTAGGGCAACAGAGGTGGAGGTGTTATTTAGGGGAGAAGATGTGGAGGTGATATTTAGGGCAACAGAGGTGGAGGTGTTATTTGGGGCAACACGGGGGGTTTATTTGAAGCAACAGAGGTGAAAGTGTTATGTGTGTGTGCAACAGAGGTGAAGCTGTTAACAGAGGTGGGGTAGTTATTTGGGGCAACAGAGGTGGAGGTGCTATAAGGGCATTAGAGATGGAAGTGTTATTTGGGGCAACAGAGGTGGAGGTGCTATAAGGGCATTAGAGATGGAAGTGTTATTTGGGGCAACAGAGGTGGAGGTGTTCTGTGTGTGCAACAGAGGTGAAGGTATTATTTATGGGAACAGATATTAAGGTGATATTTAGGGCAGCAGAGGTGGAGGTTTCATTTAGGACGACAGAAGTGGAGGTGTTATTTAGGGCAACAGATGTGGAGGTGATGGTTAGGGCATCACAGGTGGATGTGTTATGTGGGGCAACACAGGAGGAGATGTTATGTGTGGGCAACACAACACTGATGGAGATGTTATGTGGGGCAACACAAGAGGAGATGTTAAGTGTGGGCAACACAACACAAGAGGAGATGTTATGTGTGGGCAACACAACACTGGTAGAGATGTTATGTGTATTCAGGGTAACAGGGTTGTGGTGTTATTTGGGCAACAGGGGTGGTGGTATTTAGGGCAACAGAGGTGGAGGTGTTATTTGGGGCAACAGGGGGGAGGGGGTGTTATTTAGGGCATCAGAGGTGGAGGTGTTATTTTAAGCAACAGAGGTGGAAGTGTTATGTGTGGGCAACAGAGGTGAAGTTGTTATTTTACATAACATCTCTACCTCTTTTGACCCACATAACACCTTCACCTCTGTTGCCCCAATAAAATCTCAACTTCTGTTGCCCAAAATAACACCTCCATTTATGTTGCCCAATGTTCATACTGTGCTGTAACAAATTATGACACCAACCTTTCCCGCGGGCAATGAAGTCATTTAGGAGCGTGTGTGGCCTGTCAGAAAAGACGTCGGCGTTCTTGACAATGGCGTCTCTCAGGGCGCTGTAGCCGTTGAGGACGATGAGTGGTACGTTGAACAGGTACACACTAAAGATGTCGCCATATTGTTGCCTGAGTTTCTTAAACGTGATCCGGGGATCAGAGCCCATAGAGAGGGCATTCCCAACAATCGGGAGGAGAGGGGGTCCGGGTGGGAGGCCGGAAGGACGCTGTGTTAGCAGCCATAACACAGCTAGCACAGCCAACACACACAATAACACAGTTGTGGGACTGAAGGCGAATATATCCACCATTGTATCCTAATGTCCAGTTCTCGTATCGTCGGTTTTCCAAACTGAAGATGTCACGATGTGTTTTCCCGCTTGCGCCGTGACAAATTGCCTCATGCAACCACATAGGATGTGTTACGCATTAGATTGAATCAGCTGAGCATGATGCCACACAACCGTGACCTAGATATTTCTGTTGTCCCAACTATTGCACAATCTGTATGATTGCCTGTCGTACCTGGTAACACTTGCTGTTAGTTAACATTTGTTTGCTGCTATACATGTAAACATGCTTTGGGACTTGGATAAACCAGACTAACTCTATGCATATTGTAAACGAATTGATTCAGTCTATATACATTTTACAATAGATTATCTAGTCTCTGTTACCATCAGATATGTATTACAGACAATCCTGTCTCTGTTACCATCAGGTATGTATTCAGACAATCCAGTCTCTGTTACCATCAGGTATGTATTACAGACAATCCAGTCTATGTTACCATCAGCTATGTATTCAGACAATCCAGTCTCTCTTCCCGTCAGGTATGTATTCAGACAATCCAGTCTATGTTACCATCAGCTATGTATTACAGACAATCCAGTCTCTGTTACCATCAGGTATGTATTCAGACAATCCAGTCTATGTTACCATCAGGTATGTATTACAGACAATCCAGTCTATGTTACCATCAGCTATGTATTCAGACAATCCAGTCTCTCTTCCCGTCAGGTATGTATTCAGACAATCCAGTCTATGTTACCATCAGCTATGTATTACAGACAATCCAGTCTCTGTTACCATCAGGTATGTATTCAGACAATCCAGTCTATGTTACCATCAGGTATGTATTACAGACAATCCAGTCTATGTTACCATCAGCTATGTATTCAGACAATCCAGTCTCTCTTCCCGTCAGGTATGTATTCAGACAATCCAGTCTATGTTACCATCAGCTATGTATTACAGACAATCCAGTCTCTGTTACCATCAGGTATGTATTCAGACAATCCAGTCTATGTTACCATCAGATATGTATTACAGACAATCCAGTCTCTGTTACCATCAGCTATGTATTCAGACAATCCAGTCTATGTTACCATCAGCTATGTATTCAGACAATCCAGTCTCTGTTACCACCAGGTATGTATTTAGACAATCCAGTCTATGTTACCATCAGATATGTATTACAGACAACCCAGTCTCTTTTCCCATCAGGTATGTATTACAGACAATGCAGTGCCTGTTACCATCGGGTATGTATTCATATAATCCAGTCTCTGTTACCATCAGGTATGTATTACAGACAATCCAGTCTCTGTTACCATCAGGTATGTATTCAGACAATCCAGTCTCTGTTACCATCAGATATGTATTCAGACAATCCAATCTATGTTACCATCAGATATGTATTACAGACAATCCAGTCTCTTTTCCCATCAGGTATGTATTACAGACAATGCAGTGCCTGTTACCATCGGGTATGTATTCAGACAATCCAGTCTCTGTTACCATCAGATATATATTCAGACAATCCAATCTCTGTTACCATCAGATATGTATTACAGACAATCCAGTCTCTGTTCCCATCAGGTTTGTATTACAGACAATCCAGTGCCTGTTACCATCGGGTATGTATTCAGACAATCCAGTCTCTGTTACCATCAAGTATGTATTACAGACAATCCAGTCTCTGTTACCATCAAGTATGTATTCAGGCAATCCAGTCTCTGTTGAAGAACAGGTCAGAAACATTATGAAAGATGAACTTGAAATGGAAAATGCACAGGATGAAAGCCAAGTTGTGATAGACAGAGCACACAGAGTGGGTAGGAAGAAGTCTGGGGGTAAGTCTCGACCAATAGTGGTTAAGCTTACCAGTAGTAAGACCAAGTCAGACATTCTATTCCGTGCCAGTGCCAGGAACAAGCTGAAGCAGTCTCCATTCAAGATGAGCGAGGTCAACGGCTTCACAGTGAGACAAAAGAGGAGGAAACTTATCCCACATATGCTTGATATAGACAAGAAGAAAACGGGATACCTGCAATCAACCAGGTCATAGAGCCTTACAACCCGATCACCAATCGGCACTAATATGGGTAAATGTCAAGGCCGAAAAAGGGTATACCACTGTTTGTGTCACATTGAATGTGGTACGTCATAGTCAAAACTGAAAAACAACAGATAGATTGTCACTGAGATGAACTTAAAGGCACATCTTTACAATCACCTTTCAATGATCGGCCACTTATCAATGATGACTAACACTTGTAAAAGCCACAGGTTCATAAACAACTTCGGAAATCTCTCCCGTTACGTTTACCGTGTCAGCCATTTTGACGTCTTGTACTTCATATAAATGTATTACGACGCCCTATCATTGGACTGGCTTAGTGAGGTAGTTCTTAATAGACCTTGTTCATCTAATGATGATATTATTTGAATATTTTTGTTGTAAACAAACTACAAAAGATGTAACTGTGAGCATACAGACGCTCTTGTCACCTCTTCCAAGGAACTACTTCCTTCCGCGATACAGCAGGTTGTTGTATGTCTGTCAGTGTAAACAAGAAGTCACACATACTTAATGTAATCGTGTATAGATCGACATCCTTCGAGGTGAAAATTAGTGATATATAAAAAACATAACAATTGACTTCCACTTTGTGTGAGTTCATTGGAGTATGAACATCGGTATAAGTGAGTGAGTGAGTTTGGTTTTACGCCGCTTTTAGCAATATTCCAGCAATATCACGGCGGGGCACACCAGAAATGGGCTTCACACATTGTACCCATGTCGGGATTCGAACCCGGGTCTTCGGCGTGACGAGCGAAACGTCGGTATGAACATTGTTAAACGTATTGCCTAAGCAAAAGTAGCTTGAATCAGCTAAATAGTTCTAGACCTAGTTCTATCTGAGTGAACATGACACAGCAGTTTTACCAACTACAGTAACCGAGTTGGTAGTTAACTCTCAGAGGTGGGTGTCCCAGCTTTTGCTAAACCTCTGTTTGTTTTCCTCTGAAATATTTGTTTTGGGATTCAGATACAGCGTCAGACTGCATACGGACAAAAGAGGCTCACTCATCACAAATCAACCCCGGTAATAACCGGTAGTCATGGCCACCGTGGTCTTGTTTAATCATTTTCTGAAAAATGTATGGGACTTATCGGTAATTTAACAGAAAATAAATGCTTTTTTTAACAATTGTTTTTTTATAACATGCGTCACATTTCTTCTTGATCGTTCCAGTAGTTGTTCAATTTTATTTTTATGTCTATTACTTAATGTTTGTTTGCTGCTATACCCCTGTAAAAGCATCGTTTGGGAGTCAGATAGTCAGACCTGCTCTCGGTATGTTGTAAACGACTAGATCCGGTGTCTGTTACTACCGGGCGTATATTACACGAGCCTATATCCAGTGTCTGTCACCATCGAATTGCACTAGCTTGGAACCATTCTCTATTCAGACCAGGTATATATTACACTAGTCTATATCCAGTGTCTGTCACCATCGAATTGCACTAGCTTGGAACCATTCTCTATTCAGACCAGGTATATATTACACTTGTCTATATCCAGTGTATGTCACCATCAAATTGCACGAGATTGGAACCATTCTCTATTCAGACCAGGTATATATACACTTGTCTATATCCAGTGTCTGTTACCATCGTATTGCACTGGCTTGAAACCATTCTCTATTCAAACCAGGTACTAGTATATATACACTTGTCTATACCCAGTGTCTCTTACCATCATAAGGGGCGGTAGGGTAGCCTAGTGGTTAAAGCGTTCGCTCGTCACGCCGATGACCCGGGTTCGATTCCCGACATAGGTACAATGTGTGAAGCCCATTTCTGGTGTCCCCCGTCGTGATATTGTTGGAATATTGCTAAAAGCAGCGTAAAACCATACTCACTCACTCATTCACTCTAACCATCATATTGACCTTGATTGGAACAGTTCTTTATTGCTACTAGGTGCATAACACATTTGCCCGCCCGAGCACTGACAGAGGCGATTTTGAACAACGCAGCTTAAGATGTTATCTATGGTGAATTTAAATTAATTCATCTCCCTTTAGATGTGGTTATACGTGAATGCCTTAGAAGTGATAGAATGAGGTTGGACAATCTAGTGGGCTATATTTCAGTTATAAGCGAATGACTTAGTAACACCTTTTATTTCAAGTTAGAGGCCACAGGCCCATAGAACATAACGTTAACATTACAGAAATACAATTACTGATAAAGTGACTTATACAATTTCATTGCATTCAATATGAATTTCGATAGCTGTACAATAGTAGGTTTATGGTTAGATGACATCAGACGAACAAAGGATTCCAGTGACGGATTTACAAAGTATTTAGAATCAATGTATCGACATCTTAAATCATTAAAAGCAGGGCATAAAAGTGCAAAATGAAATTCATTTTCCACTAGACTAATATTTAATCGAAGACAATATCTACACAAGCGACATTCTGGATCGATGCGTCTGCCCATTTCGATCATCAACTGAACAGCATCATTACAAGCACTCAGAGGCAGATACAGAATTCTATGTATATACTTACTCTGAACTCTCTCAGATTGATCCACGACTTCGTATCCCCAAAGTTCGGAGCCGTATGTTAGGATGGGCAGAACCATGCTATCAAAGTATTTTAGTGCAGTCGTTAATTGGTAAACCACCATACATAGAGTGCAATCTGTATATGTGTAAGCATACTTTCTCCGCCTGCTTTGTCAACACCTGTTTCGATCTCGTCCAAACTAGTTTAGGTGTAAAATAAAGACCAAGATATTTATAAAAGGAGACGGTTTCGATCTGAGAGCCCCAGTAATACCATTGTTCATACTGCCGTAGATATCCACCATTTCGGAATACAACAATCTTCGATTTCTGTATATTTAGGTTCATACCCCATTTTTCACAAAAGTTGCTGACGCAATTTATTTGTTCTTGGAGTTTGCCTGCGGTATCTGCAGAGTTAGCAATATCATCAGCATAGAGAAGTGATCATATATTAGGATAATCTTCTGATATGAAAATACCTCTACAGTTTGAAGAAGTCATCTCAGCAACCAATTCGTTGATGTAAAATGAAAATAACAGCGGGCTGACAATACATCCTTGGCGAGTACCAACCAAGCACTGAAAAAGTCTGTGAGACCTTG